TGCTCTATTAACCTAGGCAGATATTCTCTTTCTAGGCTAAAGCAGAAACAACAGGAATTTGATCAGGATTCAAGTCATTCAATCATTCAAGCCTCGATTGAATATAATCAAATCATAAAATCTGTACTTGGGTTCATACAATCAGACCTAACATACAAACCTAGGGTTCTCCATACCCAGATGAATGGGAAAACTACTCCATGGAGAAAGAAGCAAAAGCATATTCAGATGCGGAAACCATACTGTGAATGATGGGTTTCTGCTCCTGGTAGTCAATCGGCACTTCTCCAAGCTCAAGCTGGGCTCCAATGGTGATGAAGATCAAGCTAGGTCACTTGGGAACTCTGGTTCGTCACTTTCTCTCTCTAGGAATTGCTATGTCTCTCTACAACTCGGAACCCATTCTCTTTTGGCTCAAACCTGCCTAAAAGGGAAACCCTAGGCAAAACACGATCGAAGGCACGGCCGTGCTTTGGTTTTGCCCGCCTGTGTTTTGCCCCGTGTTAAAAACACGCCCGCGTCGGCCAAAACACGGTCGTGCCTAAATATGGACACGGCCGTGTTTTGGTTTAGGCAAGCTCGTGTTTTGCTTTTCCATCAGTTCAGCTCTCGGCAATAAAAACACTGGCATGCCTGTTTGTGTACACGCCCGTGTTTTGGTTTAGGCAAGCCCGTGCTTTGACCCCAGCTCGATCGAATGACTTCCAAATGCCCCGAAACTCGTGCATAGCCTTTCCTTCGACGTCTGGGACCTGAAATATGACAAAGTAGCACAACCCGGCGTAAAACGGGCCAAAATACACGACTACTCGCCGCAAACGGATAAGAACTAAGGGTGCAAACTTGTGCAAATACATCGTTATCTTCCATCGACGGGCCAGAAGCCATCGACAAACCAGAAGGATCGGAGGAGGACTGGCCTCTCTCGGATCTCTGCCGCGGCTGAAGGTCCCCTGGGGGGAGTGGGGGCTCCGACTCATTATCATCCATGGCCTCGCCATCATCATCATCATCGGCCTCGCCGGTGTAGTCCTCATCCTCCTCGTCCTCATCATCATCTACCTCGTCCTCGTCGGGAGGCATGGACAACCCATCCACCCAGGATCGCCTGTCATCAGAGGCCAACCCATCGAAATGGATCTCGAAATGGCGCGCCAGCCTCGTGATCAGGGGACCAAAGAAGAGGTAGGTGGGTTTGCTTTGGCACCGGGGAAAGGTGGTGGCCACAACAGACCCTAGGTGCAGTAGGTGGTCAGGGCGCCCCATCGAGTACATGGAATACAACACTCTCTTTGGTATCTTGTGAGAGCCGGTGGCGTTGGGCGTGGTCGAGAGGGTGAGCATAAGATTGAGGATGTGCCACTTCGGCCGAAGAGTAGAGATAGAGGTCTGGCCGGCGTCGAAGGGGTCGAACTGGTAGTCGGGACGAGCAATGCTCTGGTAGAACACGTCTTGCAGCCATTCCTTTTGGTGGGCGACCTCCTTCTCATGGTGGGAGAACGGGTTGTAGTGGATTCCCAGTGCATGGGCCAACCCGTCGATGCGCAGCTCTCGTATATGGCCGCCGAGCAGGAAAGTCACCGTGGTAGGGAAGTCTCGGGCCACCTTGGGGCGGTACTGGAAGGTGGAGTAGAACTCCCACACCAGCTCCATGTAGGTAGAGTAGTCGATGGTCAGGAGCGTCGGCCATTGTGGGTGGCTGATGGCTGCGGCGATCTCATCCAAACAGTGGAGCTGCTGGAAGACGCCCCACACCAGGTGATGATGGCGGTGGAACACGCCGTTGATGACCTGGCGGTACTGACCGGCATACTCCGGGTGCAGGCGTAGGTCCTGCATGAAGGGGTATTCGAGAGACATGATCCTGCAAAATTAACACACAAAAGGTGGAGCAAAGAAAATACTCGTTAGGACCAAGAGTATGGGTTCATCACTTCCCCCACACTTAAGGACCACCTAGGCTAATAGTTTAAGCACAAACGGTTGAATCGCAACAACACAACCGCAATCAAGGCAAGAATCAAGCATAACCCACCAATTCAAGCAAACGGGCATCACACATGCATTAGCCAATCACACGTACGGCATCCCTCACCCTATTCTAAATCAAACATGCCAGGCAAATCAAAGTTCTCGGTCCTACAATCTACAGTCCGATTTTTCAGAAAAAGAACAAATCTATCAAGAAACACACCTGGAAACGCAAGTAGGACTGTAGAGGTGACACGAAGAGAGGGTGAGGGACGCGAAGCTGCGCCCAACACATGCCGGAAAAAATCGTCGGAAAGTCGCCGGACAGTCACCGGAAATCGGCCAGCGACGGAGGTGGCGGTTGTCGGCGGGGATATCAGAGAAGGGAGAGGGGAGAGGAAAGGAGAGAGAAGTGAGATGAAAATTCGGAAAAAATGAGAGGGGAGAGAGAGAGAGAGAGTCGACCGGGGATTGGCTTTTATAGGAAAAATACTCGAGTCACAGTTGAGTCGATACGAGAGAAGGGAGTGAACTATCGGTGGCTCTCTTCGAAGTAAGAGGGGAGAGAAACAGAGATGGAGGGAGAGAGAGATTTGGCCAATTCGGGGGTTGGGGATGTTCGATTTGGACCCTTTAGTGTTTTGGACTTTTGGGAGAGAACGATGGCGTTTGGGACAAGGGAGGATTTCTATTTTTTTATTAAAACCAGATAGGACCGAATCCATCATGTCTGGTAATGGTTGAAACCAGATCCCCATCCAATCCAATTTCTGGTTGCTTCTTTGATCAAAATGGTTTTTAAAATCAAGGGATTGTTTCCCTACCCTACTCGCTCCCACACGATTTTACAGGTCCGTCTGCTTCTTGTTAGCTAGCTGCTTGGTAATTACATCTGCTAGTTGTGTTGTTTTTGTGTGTGTGATAGCTGTCTAATAAAATTGGGGAAGAGGATACAAAACTTGTCATTTATATGATTACTGGACAGGAGACCGCACCTTGTTGCGGTGCAAGTGTGGCTAGTGATGAATTGTTGGAACCAAATGTCTTTCAAGGTAAAAATATAATAAATAGCTACAATTCCTCTGGTTTTTTACACAGGGTACATGTTATACCAAATAAATGAAATTATCATAACAAAACTATTTAGCAATTTTGGAAGACACTGTACAGCAACAGCAACATAACACCACTAATGAGTGCTTCACCAATCTTTCTTGAAATGACAAATAAGAAATTTCATCATGATCCATGAATAAAACTGAAGAAATAAAAAAAGATACGTCACTCTCATGATCACAAATAGAAATGAGGAAATGAAGAAGGGTGTTTTACTTTTCATATCCTATATCCAAAGGAAAATGAAACCACATAACTCCATAACCTAAAAAGAAGAAAGGGTAAACACTAATTATTAGTCAAACATTTCTCGCATTCTATTTTATTAGCCAAACCTGCTGACTTACTAATGATTAGTCAAATCTTTTGTAATGCATCAAAATATTAGTCATTTTTACGTTATCGTTCATAATTTCGTAACTCTTCTTGGTTCAAATACTAAAGATTTGGAATATTGACCTCCATGTGTCTTTTCAAAGTCAGTATCATATTGTCAAATGAGTCAATATTACTAAAAAATGGTTAACTGGATGTTAACAATTGTATGATTATTAGTAATTCAATAGGTTTGACTAAGAAAAAAGAATGTAAGAAAGATTTCATTAAATTAGTATTTACCCAACAAGAAAAACACCAATTTATCTTGTAATCAATGTTTAATACATTTTCTTACTAACTCTAAAGTTTACATCACTACCTCTATCTAATGATGTCATTACAATGCTCTAACCCAATACTGACCATGGAAAATTACTTTTAGCAACACATGAAATTGGTGCCAAAAGTGTTGCATATGTAATACAATAACATTTTTAGCGGTGTATTTTATAGATGGTGTTGTATATAGTAATATGTAACATTTTTCAAAACGCCATTATTTTTGTAGTGACTGGCCTCCTATGCATCTCTGATCGTTCACTAACCATCATCTGGATAAGCATTATTCAAATCCATCACTGATTTTGTACGAGAAAAATATAATTGGCATTTTTTAAGTAAAAATGCATTTCAAAATAGATTTACCACAAAAATTATATTCATTTTAAATCTAGTGTAGAGCACTCTATATATTTGCCAAATAGATGAAAATTTTAATAACCCACATTAAAAAAAAAAATTATTAACCCAACAACTAAGCCCCATGAATAGCAATTAAAAGTCCAATAATACAAAACGAAGGGGTCAATAGCATAAAAGGTCATTTACGTTTGCCGTAACTAACAAATTGGTCACCTACGTTTCAATTTTAACAAATCGGTCACTTATGTTTTCACTAACTAACGAACTAACATTTCCGTCCACTTCTGTTAATTTTCCATCCAAAATTGCCATGTCACCTTGCCACATCATCACAACATATATTAAAATAATTAGCATGCTTAAAGCCATACATAAATCGAACCCAATCACATGAAACCAACCAACCAACCGAACAAAAGTAGATATGATTTCTCATCCAAATATTCATGTTTTTCTGAATAATATACAGCAGGGAACACATGGTAATCATCAACCCAAGCTGTATTTTAGCAAATGGATCCCCGAAACATCATCAAACAAGGATCCATTAAGCTAAGTAAGCTGGTTGGACAAAAGAGGGGAGGAATCTACATCTCAACCCTTAACAAAATATTCATACCATGTTTAAATACTAGATTACTAAAGTGATGAGGTTGCCATGGAGGTCACTCCTTATATCTCTATCCCTGTGCTAGTTGGAGTATCGACCCTTGAAGAAATTGATGAGGCTGCCATAGAAGTGAATCCTGATGTTTCTGTCCTCGTGTTGGTAGTCTTCTTTCTCTAAAGTAGATTAAAATGTGTAAACTAACATGTTCCAGCAAAGAAAGATAATCCACAACATCACAAATAAAGAATACAAACAATTTGCAGTAGAGAGTAAAGTTAGTAAACTAATATTCTGGTCGGACAAGAAAGTGAACAAAGAAGTGTACCTTCCTATTTCCAGTTGGTTCGACTAAAGTATCATTGGCGGTGGTTGAATCTGATCGGGTTGTGTGGAACCTCTTGTTGTGCCCATTTTTCCCACACACAGAACAATGTTGTTTTCCACCTTCTTTGCTCAGTGCCACTATAGGTATACCTTGCTTATCTTTCCTTTGAACCTCCAGCTCCCACGCTTCTTTCCTCCTCTTAGTTTGTCTTCGACCCCTTTTGCGTCGATCAAACTTAGGTGCTTGTAGAGGAGGCATGGTGCTCTTTGGCCACTGGTTAGCATCATTGTGGGCATGTATTGGATAGGCATAAGACATCATATATGTGTCCATATGATAGCAAGAATCCACGTAATTTTCTGGTTTGTCCTTGTTATGCAAGATGCAGCTTATTGCATGTGAGCACGGTATACCCGAAAGCTGCCACCTCCCACAAGCACACGTTCTCTGTAGTAAATCAACAACAAACTCACCCCTTGGAGACCTCACTTGAAACTCCATGTACCCATTGTATGTGGGTGTGCACAAAACAGCCCATTCCTTGTACTGATTCAGCTTCTTTTGAGGCTTAGGGCAGAGTAATTGTCCCTTAAATTTAGTCATCTCAAGGTTCTTCTTGTACACTCTACGCATCAACATGTGTCTGATTGCTTCAAGACAAGAGAGTATTGGCAAATCTCTAGGCCCCAACACGTACTTATTCCAACACTCGCACAAATTGTTGAGTGAAATTTCACATTTTGTATGCGTCTTGAAGAAGGCTTTGCACCACTGTTCTGCTGGTCTGTGCATCAACCATTGATGCGGGTTTTCTTTCTCTGGAGGATAATTATGAGATATCTTCTCCATAAGATCCATCCAATTTTTATAATCAGCCTTATAAGTCGCTCGTGCAGCTCCCCATAACAAGTCTTTCAACTGTTTAGAACGACTGAATTTCCCACTGAAATTTACATACATGTGTCGAACACAATAGCGATGCTCTGCATTGGGGAACATGCTATGCATGACATTCATTAACCCCTACAAAAAAGAATGAAAGCCAGATTAGCTTTTGCAAAATAACTACTAACCCTTACTATAAACACAACAACTAAAAGTGGTATAATTACCTTTTGTCTATCTGATATAAAAGTCCATTTGGAAGAGTTGTCAATCTCTAAGTCTTGAGCTACCAATGCCATGAACCACTCCCATGTATCCTGACACTCTTTTTCTACTATGGCATATGCTATGGGATAGATACAATCATTGGCATCTATTCCAACTGCTGAAAGTAACTGCCAACCAGGTATGCCTTTCAAAAAACAACCATCGACCCCAACAACTCGCCGACAACCAGCTTTAAACCCACGCTTTAAGGCATCAAGACACACATAAATCCTTTCAAACACCAAACCTTGGTGCTGAATCACAACAGTGGTCCCAGGATTTCTGTCCTCCAAAACTAGCTTATAATCATAAAGGCGACCATACTGCTTCTCATCCTCTCCGTGAATCAACTCCAATGCCCTCACCTTAGTTCGCCAAGCCTTCATTTGATTGATGGAGATACCCATGTCAGTCTCTATAGTGTGGATGAGGTTTCCCATTGACCAAGTTGGGTCAATCCTGAACCTATCAAGATACTTTTTTGCGATGAATAAGTCGTTGGCAGCCCTTAAATCTTGCACCACCCCACATGTATGAGTAAGATTTCCTGACCTAAGCTGTACTGTATCCTCATTTGGTAGGACAGCAGCCCTCAGTTTGAATCCACAACTTTGCTTGCACACAGCCTGTACCCTCTTCTTATCATTAACAGGGAAGATTATAGGTCTCCTCTCCTTGATGGCGTGTGCTTTGCATGCTTCTTTGAACTCCCACACTGACCTAAACAACAATCCGATCTTCATTTCAGGGCTCTCCATATCTGTGTTTGCATTAAACTCAGGAAAATTAACACCTCCGTCTTGATCATCAAATTCACCACTGTCAGTTCTGCGATTAAGTAACTCTTCTTCATCAAATTCACCACTGTCAGTTCTGCGATTAAGTAACTCTTCTTCGCTCTCTAATTCTTCAGGTGGCAACTCGTCATCATTCTGAACGTAGCTACTCCCTCTCACAACTTGAGCTCTTGTCCTTTCACGATTATCTTGAGTAGCAATATGAAACCTCCTCTCACTTTCATTTTCACGTAACTGTCCTATAACATCATCATCATCAAATATATCCACCTCCGTATCCATCAAATCCACATTCTCATATGAATCTATATCTTCATCAAAAGCATCACAATATTCACCAAACTCAGAAGCAGACATAGTTGTCCCATTAGCTTGTGTAACTCCCTCCTCTGGTTCTTGTCTCACCATTCTGTAAACACCACAATACAAGTCAACATGTTGGGAATGAGAGGGACGAACCAGAAAAACCCTAAAAACGGAAAGGAGATCCACCTACTTCAAAATGAAAATTGAGATCTTAGCTATAAAAAGAACAAAAAACCCTAAAAGATAAATTACCTTCCGAACCGATGCACCAGTCGCAAACCCCAATTCTGTTTTGTTGGTAAGTGTAGATTGTGCTCCCTCTCTGTATTTGCTCTAATATTTTGCCTTCTCCATTCGCGAAGCAGAAAAGGGAAATTTAGGGTGAGGAAGAGAGACAACGAGTGGGTGAAGGGGCAAAATATTGTAGATTGTGCTCCCCCTCTGGCCTTTGTATTTGTTAGGTGGGCTACTGGGTTTTGCCTTTCTTCATAGCAGAAAGGGAGAGAGAGAGAGTGAGTGTGGGTGGCGGAAAAGAAATCAAACAAAAGTTTTTGTTTTTGTTTTTTTTTTTTTTAAATCAAACACAAGTTTGTTAGTTTTATGGGGTTGGGAAGTTAGATTGTTTCTGGTTTTGAATGAGTTTATTATTCTAATATATATTTTTGTGACATGGCAAGGTGACATGGCAATTTTGGATGGAAAATTGACAGAAGTGGACGGAATTGCTAGTTTGTTAGTTAGTGAAAACGTAAGTGACTGATTTGTTAAAATCGAAACGTAGGTAACTGGTTTGTTAGTTACGGCAAACGTAAGTGACCTTTTATGCTATTGACCCCAAAACAAAGCCCACAAACTGATATTTGGCATCACTAACTTTGATTTAAGTTAGCCCAATAATGGCTCTAGTTAGGAACAACAATACGCAGCTTATGTTCATTTATTTAGCCCATTAACACTCAAATGTTTATATATTAGCCCACTAACTCTTTAGGTAACAGTAACCTTGATTTAAGTTTATATATTAACTAGGTGGCGATGCCGCGCCTTATCGCGTGGCGGAAATGGCCTTTGAGCATGTATTATGTGGTCCAGTATTGTGTTTTGTTAGTATTATTAGTATAAAATTTAATTTTTTGTTAGCAGTTTTGTTAGTAATATTGACTTGACAATATGATATTGATTGAGAAGAGATATATGTCAGTCAACATCCAATTTAAATATTTTTGAAAAATTTAGGCTAATAAATTATATTTACCTAAACCCAAGTAGACCCATTGATTATGGGTAGGGTATGCGTGACATATATATGAGTTTGAAAGTTTGTAGATGGGTTTGGGTAGGGTATGAATATTTAATTTCATAATCTAAATGTGTATGAGTTGGGTATGGATACCCATTTATTCGAGGGTGTTTTAATTACACATACAAAAATTAGACATCTTTGTAGAACTTCAAAAATTTAGGAACCAAAATGTCACACAAAAGTTTTAGATACTAAAATGTAATGTTCCGTCAATATTTTGAGGACTTATATGCCAAAAAAATAATTTAGGTTATAAATCTAAAGATCTATTAAGTTTAGGTGCCGAACTATAATTTGTATACCTGAGGCTTAATTCCTTTATGGTGATGTATTTAAGATGATAATTATTTACTTTTTTATAGAAAAATGAAACTATTATTTGACATATGTAGATACCTAGCCAAACATTCCATGTATAATTGTTGAAAATTCTAGCTCGGGTGAAAAAAAAACTTTAGGGAGAAGCAAAATGAATACAAACTGGAACTCGTTTAAAATTTCACGCCTTCAAATCGCATAGTGGAAAATGATTACTTTCTAATAAGCAATAACCATATATATTTATATTTAATTGTACTCGGCAATGAGCTGAAAAAGTTTGTGGTTCATGGTTCAATTATTAATTCTCTAGACTGTTGGTAAATCCTGTATGGACCCGTTCATACTTGATATAGAATATATACCCGTTCATACTTGTGATTAGACCCGTTCATAATCACCGTAGCAATTTATTGAAACTTGTTTATGTAGATGTCGCCTATTTTGTTTCATGTAGTTAGTAGAAGATTGTTTAGTACCCTGTAAATGTATTAAATGAGTTTATAAAATCGCTCTTTCAATATAGAGTCATCTCGGTTTTATCATTTATTTAATGTTTCATGTAATGAGCAACTATAAAATGGTCAAATCTTCTCCTACAGTTGAGTGATACAACATCTTGTTTGGTACAAACTAATTTTTTTTGTTTGGTGGATTGGATTAATGGATTGATTCAAAAGGATTGGTGGATTGGATTCATGAATTCAAGTGAAATCTAAACATTGGACTAATATATAAATTTAAAAAAATAGTAGGTATGGGCTGGGGAGTAAGACAGTGGTCCAGCGGTACAAGGACTACAAGTGAAGGCAGATTACGATGGTCTCTTTGTATTAGTTATGTGTGGCGTCAGCGTTGTAGCAGAACTCATGATACTGTTATTTGCCCCCCAAGTAAGCTAGTTGAAGTCGATACTTGAAGCCAAACTCTGAAGCTGTAATGAGGCAAAGATAGGTTGTTTTTGCATGTTTTAGTAGATGGCTATATTGAGTAGTTCCTATTTTGGTACTGTACGATTTGTACTTGGAGGAGGGGTTCGCAGTATGTAACTGCAGGGCTTAATGAAATTTTTGATTAACCATAAAAAAATAGTAGGTACAAAAAACTCATAAAATTTAGATACCAAAATATAATTGTTCGATGATTTTGCATTAAAATTAAATTTGGGTTATCAAAATGTAAAATATACATCATAGTGACTAAATCGTAATTTAATGAAATTTGAAGTATCAAACGATAAAATGTACAACGACCCAATCAGCTTGCAAATTTAGGCAATAGTAAGTTAACTTCTTCTTTATATATATTAATATCTTATTAATAATCTGTTTACATGAGGAATTTTACAATGCTATATAGCATTGGTGTTATAGGTTTTTGCCTTTATGGTACAACTTGAAATTGTACCTTTAACGTTACGGTACAACTTCATATTGTACCTATACTTTTTGTACAAATTCTTTTATGGTACAACTTAAACTTGTACATTATGTGGTGATACAACTTCAAGTTGTAAAGTTGTACCATAACATAATGATACAAATTCCTATATGGTACAACCTAAACATATACATTTAATGTTATGGTACAATTTCAAGTTGTACATTAAAGCACCAATGCTATAT